TGGCCGCGCCCCTCGCGGGTGCCCAGCCCCACGGCCGGGAAGGCGGCGTCGGCCTGCGAGCTCATGAACAGCACCACATTGCAGCGCCGTGCCCATGTGGCCTGCACGTGCCGCGCTTTGGTCTCCAGGCTCTGGGGCGCCGTCATCACCCAGCACAGGATGCGCACCTTGGAGAACAGCTCGGCCGCTGTCGTGTTGTCCTCGCCTGGGGGCCATGGGAGCATGGGGATGCATCCAGAAGATGCCCATGGCCCCCTCCACCCACCCATATTAACCCTGCCACAGACTGGGCCAGACATCCGGAGATGGAGATGGTGATCAGGAGATGGCACTGGAGCTCAGTCCAATGTTAGTAAATGGAGCTGGCAGGGGTGCTGTGTGGGCCCCACCCCAGCTCAGGTGCCCACGTGTCCCCCCCCCAAGCAGGGCCAGGCACATCGAGCCACCCCCGTGAGCCATGGGGTGGCACTCACCTGGGAGGGGCGGGTGGAGGGCACCAAGGAGAGCTGGCCCGGGGGCAAGGGTGGCACGGCGCGGTGGGTCCTTGGGGGGCAGCGGGAGTGGCGCGCTGTGCAGCAGGTAGAAGGCGATGGCGAAACCGGTCACGATGCCCGCGTTGAAGGCCAGCCATGAAGACTTGAGGCCCAGCACAGCCATGGCACCGGCTGCTCCGGGCACCTGGCGTGGCTTTGAGGGGTGGGAACAGTGCTGGGCCAGATGGTTTGAGCCAGCACCGCCCGCTCCACAGATTAATGGTTAAGCGGCTCGTTAAGGTGTCACCACAGCAAGCAAAGGAAAGTTCACAGCTCGTGCCAGCCTGGGATTTACTCCCTTGCCCCTACCTAGGGTGGCATAGAACTAGCCCCGTGCCCAGCTCGGAGCTGGCGTGCGAGTGAGGCGGATGCCCGTGGAGAAACCCAGAGTCATCGCAGCGGGCTGGGGGAGGGGGCACAGGAGCAGCCCCCCAGGCCTGGCAGTGCCCCGCTGGCAGGGATCTGGGCATCCCAGGCAGCTGGGCCCAGCCAATGCATTATTAATTAGCACTGAGCGGCTGCTAATGAAGCGGCGGGTCCCAGGGGGCAGCTGGAAGCCAGCTGAGAATTGGGGGGCAGCCCCCAGCGTAGATGGGGCAAAGGGTGGGAGCAGAGAGGATGAGGGGGGTGGAGCACTTCGCCCGCCCCGTATACCCCTCCCCGGGTGCCCCAGGGATGGAGGTGTTTGCATGGCAACAGATTGGGGGATGCCCCAACACCCTCCTG